TCTTTCCTAAGCCTGTAGCACTGCCTGGGGTTGTTGTGACCCAAGTGCAGGACGCGGCACTTGGCCTTGTTGAACCTCCTGCAATTAACTGGCCTCAGCTCATCGATAGAGCCTGTCCAGATCCCTCTGCAGAGCCTTCCTACCTGCCAGCAGATCAACACTCCCATTCAATCTGCAAATGACATTCTAAGCTTTTCATCTTTCATTAGAAGTCAAAGGCAGTCACAGTGTGGAATCGCACTTCCTTTTCTCTTCAGAAGTGATTAACGCAAAATATAAACTAGGGCTGAAGTCAATATCCAAATAGTATGTCTGGTACCATAAGCTGCACTTCTGCTTTTCCACCTCCCCAGAGATAACCTAGCAGAATGCCCATAAGCACCAATGAAGAGAAGCATCTTACAGTTCAGTAAGAACTGTAAGATGAATTACTTGAAGCTCTCCCAAAAGCCCTTAGCTCTAACGATCTTCAAGGCTTAACTACCAAAGCTGGTTCCTAATTTCTGACCAATTGATTTTGTCTGTCCTCCAAAACCAAAAGTGTTAAACCAGTCCATAATATCAGACTACTTCAAAGGACTAAAAAAAAAAAGTAATTAGATGCCTGAGAGTAAAGATGTCTATCAGCTGGGATTTTCAAAAGTTGCTGGCTCTCTCCTTGATTTCAGTCCAAGTCAGGTGCTAAAGTTTTTCAAAAAACACATATATCTTTGGATGTTTAATATCTTTTAAAATCTAACTTAACTGAATATGTGACAAACAATGTAAATAGTGATCTGACTTTTTTTCACTGAAAATCCTGTACAATTAAAACTCAAAGCATTATATCATTTATGTGGTTTTTACAATTATTGAACACATTTAACATCAGCACTTCCAACATTGCCGAAATAAAAAAAAAAACAACAAAAAAGCTCTACATTAATTCTGTCTTTAAGCAACACTCGGGAGGGAGATTTTCACATCTCAGCTGTATTTCTCTTGGATCTGTTCAAATGCCTCCCAAAACCTTCGATCATAAAATAGTCCTCCCCAAAAGCCCATTCTCCTGAGAAAGCCTTCAAGAGAATCAGGTCTCCTATCCCGGACCATAAAAGAAAAAATAACCAGCTGCAGAGATCTCCACAGGTATCACAGAGACTGGAATATAAAGGCAGTACAAAAGACAATAAAGTAAATTGTCTTTGGAACCAAATCGCAAACTAGAAAAAAATAAAAAAATGACTAAAGCCCTCAACTTTTACCAGCTGAAACACTGTCCTCCCAACTTCCACTCAATTCACTGCAACAAAAAAAGAAAAAAAAAGTATTTTCCCACCTTTTCATCCGAGAGCATATTTCAGTCTTCAGAACCAAGGTTTTACTAGTGCTAGTAGGTCTAGTTGGGAGGGTAAGTATTTTTAATATTACCTACTCTTTTCCCCAATTTACACATAACTCCACACTGAAGATTATCACAGAATAAATGCAGGCATTTAAGTAAAGCATGCTCAATGCTTTATCTTCTTGATTTTATACAGCAGCTTGCAGAAATTACTTTTCAAAGGCCTGCTTGAATCTGTTTGGACAAGCAGCTTCAAGAAATCAGATACCTCAAAGGTTCTCTTTCAGTGATGCAAAATGTTCTTTAATAGACAGTCAATAAAAGTAAATATGTATTTTTGTTTGTTTGGTGACACTTTTTTTATAAAAGAGAGGAAGAAAGTGTGATTGTCAAGTAGTTCATCATGGGTATGAAGACAGCAACATAAAAGGCCTTGAAAGGTTCTCTCCTTTTGTTTTTACCGGTATATTGTAGCTACAGGCAGACAGTTTCGGCTGATTGCTCTGAGTGCTACGGGAGAGAGGCTCTGAAATGAAGACTGAATGGCAAGAAAAGCTTACACTAAAATCAGCAAGAAGAGAGGGAGATCACTCAAGGGTAAAACATAAAAATAAAACTTATGGACAACTGGCATAAATCCATGTGGCTCATCTGATTTAAATGAATCTATGACAAAATAAATGGACATAAATTTTTGCTACTTGCTTCATATTAAAATGTGCATGCTTTAAACAAAATGAGTAAATTAATCTTGGATTTTTCATGTCATGTACAAAATAAATAAATATTAGAATTAAGGAGATCTTAATTCTATTGCTATTCCTTTCACTGGCTTACTGAATGACCTTATCAGTCATAAGCCACATCACCTTTTCTTATATTATCTATAAAATGGGATGATGGAATTCATTTTATCATAAAGCATGCTGAAAAGCTATATATTAAAGTTTATTACTAATTTCACCAGCCTATTACAGCAGTTTTGAGTCCTCTTATTCCATCAACTTCAGCAGAATTTCACTGGCAGAAAACTGGAGCAAGATACTGTTGAACCAACACTGCAAATAGACTTAAGCAACACTCAGATATGTTTTTTAACTGATAATGTATTAACAGATTCTGAAGCTGATTTTTTAAAAAGTAATTAGTATTTCAAGTGTCAGCTGTTCTGACTATATAGAGAGCAGCCTAGAGCAAGGAAATACAGTGCAAAGATTTGCCGCCTTCTGCCTTTCTGCCTCCATGCACTCTGAGAGTAAGTGCACACTTACTCCTTTAATAAATTTGAGCCACATTTGAATTATGTGAATCAATTATATGCACACATTTGATTGGAATTTTGCTGCTCACATGCTTAAATGTTAATAAAGTGTCTTTATTTTAGAGCAAGTATTTGCGGCTGTTTTTAAAAAACATTTAAAATCTCCATCAGATTTTTGCTATTCTGAATAAAAGTGAAGAAATATGTAGATTATTTATCATAAATAGCTTTTAAATGTCTGTATACAAGCCATCATAGGATTGTTGTTCTTCCTGTGTTCATCGATTTTGAAATAATAGAGCTTATAAAGTAAGAAAGAACAACAAAAATATCACAAAACAAGGAAACAAACAAAAAAAGCCAACCACCAAGCTCAGGAGTGCCTCTTGGCTCTTCCTTTACCAATAGTGGCAGTTTTAAAAGCTATCAAAGTCCTTATCTGCAAAATTTAAAGGGATATACAGCATTTCTGAAACTGTCTTTTTGTGTTGCGAAGGAAATGCTTGCTCAGTGATATAAGGTACCATTGCTGTCTTTAAAATAATCACAACATTGAACCTATTAAAAAAAAGTAAAGAGATACTGTGTCTGTATTAGAATATTCTATCTGTGGTCTATAGATCATTCTTCATTACAACAAATTGAACTTGAAACATCCAAACATCAGTTTACCAACTCTTAAGACACCAATTCACTTGAGGAGGCTAGCTATAAGATGGCATGATTAAAATGCTGTAGGGACTAAAGAAACTTTTCCATGCTGTAAAACTTAGAAAGCAACAAACGCTTTTTATCTTCTTGAAGATATGACTCAGATTAAAATAAACAACACTTTAGCCAAAATAAATTAATACAGGTAATAATTTGGTTCAGAAAAATAAATTCTTATCCCTCACCTTTCTCATTAAGATTACGGAAAAGTTTGGATGATCCTTTCCAAACCGGTGGTGTCTCCATAAGAATCTGATTCAGTTCCTAAAAATTAAGATTTAAAAAAGATAGAAGCATATATTTAAACACTTAATGAAGTATTTAACAGATTATGAGCAAATGCTAGGAAATCTATATAAAAAACAAGGAACTGCATGCAAATCTACCAGTGAACTTAACTTCAGTTTACCACAATGACTTTGTGAAGTACTCAAGCACATATACAAATTTTGCACACGTGATCATTCCAAGAATTGCTCATCTGCATGAATACTAAGTGTTTGCAGAGTTGGAGAGAGACATGTAACATATCTGCTGCTGAAATTACTCATTACTGCTTACATTCACTGAAGCCAATGGTAAGTCCCCCTGGATTTCAGTAAGGTTCTCATCCAACTTCCAAGCAACTGTTCTCTTAAAACACTCTACCTGAACTACGGCAAACTTCACCCATGAATATGAATGTACTTTACTTAAAATACAGGGATACAGACCAAGTCTTTTTGCAGTTGTACAAAGGTACAAAAAAATTAAAGTATCTAGCCTTTTTCTTTTCCTTTTAATTAAGACTAAAAGAGTTCCTTAATTTTCCTGTGAGAGTAGTTGACATAATGAAATAAAGTAATTCTGTCAAAATCTACAGTTGTAATACAGTACAGGAACTACCGCCCACCTGTTTTGAGAGGGATCGCCACTTCTTAGCACCTGCAACAAAAGACAACGTTACAAACAGACAGAATTTATGCCAACATGGTATCATAAAAATTAGACTGCATCTATACTGTGTTTCTAGCCAAAGAAAAGGTATTTTCCCTACGTCATGAGGCTAATTTTCAACCTAGTTCCAAAGAATTCTCTTTAGGTTATCAAAAAAGTAATTGGCCTAACACATAGCCAAACTTCTAAGAACCAATTCAGATGTACAGTTTTTAATCCAGCTCCACTTCAGTGAGAGAAAAGAACTTCTACCTTCAAATCACACCATTTAAACATTAAATGGTAAATAGAGGACATTCAAGTTAACCTGTGGTGTCAATATTCTGAAATGATTATTCAATATTACAATGAAGATTCTAGGGAGATCTGGATTCTGACCTGTGGTTGAGGGAATACATATGTCTTTTGAAGTAAATACAGAAAAATAAATCTTGAAACTACAGCAGGTGCTAAGCCACTCCTAATAACCCAGATTCATGCTCCCTTTTACAGTCTCTGTCAGGATGAATTTTTTCTAAGTAGTTTTAACAGTGTAGCTCAAGAGGGCTTTTTCAGCTCCGAACTGGAATTGCTTGTTAACACTGAAAATAGATGAGTAAGCCCAAGCAGATGCTTTCTTCCTAACACTTTAGATGTTGTCAGATGTGAGTATCTCTCTCTGTTCCTGGAGCCTGTCATCTAGAGATACTCGCACTTGAAAACAGTTGTCCACAGTCATCCAGGAATTCAAAACTTGAGGTCCACGACCACCCTCTCAAAGACAAACATTTGCAGAGATTCAATATTAAGATAAAGCACTGTATCACTTTTCACAAAGGTACGAAAAGCATAATATGTGGTCAAATTCATAACTTTGTGGTTGATAAAAGCTCATTTTTATAGAGCAAAATTCGCTATGGTATTACAAATCCCTTGCTCATGATGAACTCCATGCTCCATTAAATAATTACCAGGATATAGAAGCTACTCACTATGGTCTTCCATGAGTTCACAGTTACAAACTTACTGAAATCTTGGTTTTAAATCTCGGTAAAGGTTAGCACCAAGGCTGTCACAAATGCCACTCTAACTACTGTGGAGTTACATCGAATATCATCGTAACACGAGCTAACAGTCTTGCACTTACTTTTCGGGTTAATATTTTTATTTCATTTAAAATCTTGTGGCAAAATATTAAATAGAAACACCCCAAAACAACCTCACTTGCTATACAAATTGATATATGTTTATGCCTACCATAAAAAAAACTTGGAGGATAAATATATCTAACTTTCCAATCAGATAATTTCCCAGTCTCATACATTACAGATAGATTTTCTTTCTAGATAAGCAAGTGAAGATTTATGTGCATATACATGCTTCTTACAGCTCAGTATTAGGCTAAAATAACTATAGTTAGAGCTAAAGGGAACAAAATATATTTCTTCTTCTCTTAATTGGATTTCTAAATACATAAACATGATAAAAATGTATCAAGTATGACTGTTAAAAATCTATTTTCCCAAATGAAAGACTGCATCATAAAGGCAGAAGCAGCAACTTGATTATAGCATTTATTTTATGTTTTTTTATAATAACCGCCTGTAGTCAAAAGTCAGATTTTATAAAAGAAAATATACTCTTACCATGTTAGTTAGTGTTTAATCAAAAAAAGGAAGTGAACACCCTCTTGACTTTTGTAGGGTTTACAAGATTTCCAAAGTAAATCAATCACAATAGACGCATTCACTCCATTCACAAATCTCATTCAGGTCTAGTATTATTAGCTTTTCTATAAAGCAGACATAAAGAGCTACTATTATTACTCTTCAAAGGGCTTTTTGACAAAACTCAAGACCTTTCTTGTCTTCACTATAAAAGAAAACCCAACAGGTGGATGTTCTTTTTTTTTTCCTGCAAACTATAGATGCTCTAGTATGTCAGCCTGAATGGACCAAAATATTTACAACTTGCAATTTACTTGCAAAATTATCCAAAAGTACAAAACGAGATGTTTAGAATGACTTATTTTGTTCAGATAAATACCTTCTCTAAACTTACTACCTTCGATAGAGCAAGACAAAAAAATTAAGACTTGCCCAAACTGACAAAGCAGTACTTTCACAGAGCTGCAGTACAAAGGCTAAAATTAACATAGTCAGGGACCAGAAGCGGGAAATGATAATCTGCAGGTTATTGACCCAACGTCCCAGACAATATGACTTCCACTACAATGAAATCATCTGCTTCTACTTAGCTACAGCCTCCTACACTCATTCCTTAAAATAATTTTTTCAGTCATGTAATCTGTGATACTAGTTTGTAAAACTGAAGGACACCCAGGTTACTTATGCTTTCAGTCTCAGAGGTGAACTGGGTGCACATGAAGGATTTTGATACGAACAAGCTTTGCTACGTTGAACTCAGAAGGGTGCCAGATCTATTCTCCTTTGGCATGAGATTAACAGAATGTCTTTGTGAGCTTGATGCTTTTTGGCTTTGTTTTGTTTTAAAATCTGAATACTTGCTGTGAGAGAGGAAGAAGCATAAATTTCGTTAGCATGGAAAAATCTTAATAGCAAATCATTTATGTAGTGTGGTCAAAGCAGTCATACTGTCATAAAATGGAGTTAAAATGAAACATTCAACTGATGTCCAGTATCTGGCACAAATGCTTCATAACCATACATGGAGAAATCCAATCCCATTGTAACATAAAAAAAGGAAGACTTGGAGATCTGGGCAAAGGAAGTAGATACAAAGTGCTGATGTGTATTTGCCTTAACTTCTGTGATAGGGAATCTGCTTCCTCTCTTTTAACTGCAGGGCAAAAGAAGAGAATGAATATTTGCTTTCTGGTAAGAGTTTCAAAGTTTTGTAAATTTTCACCATGTAAGCTCTATCTTCTGTCTCTCTGTTACAATGAGATTATCTCTTTATTCTAAAGTTATAGAAGTTTTGATCACTGATGTGCCATGGCTTAATTCTTTTCTCTTGTTTAATTACTATTAAGAGAACAAAGGGGGAAAACCTAACCTCTGCACAGAGCTTTAAGGTCTCCTCTGACTGTTTTAGCTGCTTTTGACTATTCTCTATGCTAGTTTTGTGGTATACACTTTTAGGAATAAAGACCTAAGGTGAGTTATTATACATGTCACACCTGAGCAGAGATATTCACGTTACCCAGAAGCTGCTGCTACCAATGCACAGCAACCCTGAGGGCCAGGAAATCAAACTAGATCAGAAATGGATCACCTTACTATTTAGTCACTCTTTGATACTTGAAGGGAAAGTTTTACAATAAGTGAACCAGAGCTGATAGTTTATTTTTCTTTAATTTAATTAACACATAGTGCTACCTCTGGCAACTTTTAAGTGTAGAAAGTGGATCCCCTGGGGGACTGAAACTCTTACTCAAAGCATGTTGTTTAGAAAGCCATGATATGGTTATAAAACCTCTGTAGGGCAAAAAAGCCCAACGCAACATGATAGCAGATGACAATTTAAGATGGCAAAAACTGCAAAACAATGTCATCCTAAATTATTTAGGGAACTCTTATCTTGTCTGCCTAATTACACAGAAACCATACAGAGGAGAAGGAGGAAGCAAGAGTTTTACAGCATCACTGGCCTGCTCAGAAATAAACCCTGACTGTGTCAATGCAAGTGGTATAAACTGTCTTTCATGCCTGTCAATCTGTCTGTGACCTCTAAGATAAGAATGTTTAATTAATGACTAGTATACAGATGTTTACAATCTAATAACAATCAGGATACTGACTGTATGCACTTGGACATCATTAAATTTCTGAAAGATGCAGTAACCTTTTCACCACACTCAAACAGAAACAGTAACCAAAAGCAAATGGAAAAATAAAATACACCACTGACATTTTCCTTAGCAATTTTATCAATATAAAATTCCTGCTTACATTTCGGTTCATCACTTGTGACAGCCTGAATGAAGTCATATGGAGTCATGTACAGCTGTCCTTCAAATTCTAAACTGGCAAACCTACGAAACCGCTGCTCCCGCGGAGTTGCATAAAGGTGTAAATCTTCAACATCTGATCTGTTTTCTGTAACCTTCAAAGACAGAAGGACATAATTTTAACGTATGAAACAAGTTTCAGTTTACAATTGCCACTGCCATTCACCATAAAGAAACTCTAAATGTAAATGTGGTAACTTGTAAAGTGAAATGCATACAAACACTTTTGTATGGTAAGAGCTGAAACTAAAGTCAGGATTTCACTGCTGTCATTTTCACTCTTTTACAATTTTAGCATTAAAATTTTTGACACTACTCAAACTCAGAAAAAGAAGAAAAAAAGATTAAAAAATAATATAACTTAGGCTCTTGAATAATAGAAAAAAGGGCAACTTTAACTCCAGGAAGTCCATGTAACTTCAGCAGTCAGACTTTAAACAACTCCGCTAAAATTATTTCAGTTGTCTGACATTTCCAGAAGAGAACAGAATAACACTTTTTTAATACTGCTTCTTAGTGTAGAGCGCAGCTGTTGACAATAACAAGCAAGACAGCTCCATAACAAACTCCAGTGTAAATCTTCTGTGGATGCCACTACTGCAAGTATCCAATGCAACTAAAACTACCATACTTGGGGGAACAGAAGAGCGTAATTATTCCTCCAGAATTACAGAAGCACTGCATGGTATTAAGTTCATAACTCATGAGAGCTTGAAGATGCCAGGAGTTTCTTGTATATCATCCAGCTGATTTACATGTGAACTTAGCAGGACAAAACTGTTAAGTGTTCTGAATTATTACAGATCTATGTCGCACTGTCAAGCCTTTTACCAGAAAATACACTATTGCTATCCGAAAACATTCTTTAGCCTACAATAAGGCAAGCTCCTCTATGGAATCAGTATCTTGAAGAAAATATAAATATCTTTAGCTCTTTTCAGAGATGAAAAAACCAAACCCAAACAGTTTCAAAAAAGGAAGAGCAATGATACAGCTAACTTCTCCCAGCATGTTAAAATCCTTATCAATAAATATGCCAAGCTGCAGCTATGCTCACTGTTCTTGTCATTTCATACAGTATCCCTAAAATTCTTCAGGTGGCAAATTAAGGAAAGGCAGTAAGTAGCTCACGGTTTGACTAATGTTTACGCTTTCATTTAACACCTAAGAAATCAGCCAAATCCATTTTGTTTTTCAGAGAGACATCTAAACACGAAGAAATGTTGGGAGATGTCTGCACTTGCTGTCCGCTAGCAGTCCCCAGCTACAAATGGCAATTGTTTTTTTCCAAAACTTTTCTGAGAGTAGGTTTCATATTTCAGCAATTAGAAGCAAAGGCACACTTACACTGGGCAGTCAAAAATGCACACTCACTCTCCTCCTGCTTTGCAATGTCCTTAAAAAAATAAAATATTAGTAAGACTACTGCAGGGAAATGAAATTTTATGTCCTCAGTTCCAAGTAGGAGAGTAAATTACATTTGTAAAACAGACACATCAAATGTGTCTACAAGAGGTCAAAAACTTTATATTTCAGGAAAAAAAAAACCACAAAAAATCATATGTACAGTCACAGTGTAACAGAAGACTCTTAATTTCTTTATTTTATACATTGGAGCCTTAGTACTTCAATACTTCATATAGGACTTTTAAGCTGCCTTCTAGAAAGAAAAAGAAACTACTGACACTGTTCTCTTTCTGGACTGTCTCCAGTCTTTTTGAAATTATTGCTTCTAGCATCGCGTACATGTGAAAACATTTCATTTCAATGGAAAAAATGTCACACAAAGTAACAGAAATGCTTATGCAATCATTTAATTTTCAATAGACTGATCTCCATACAAATATTCTGCACTTCTGCCTGAGAAGCAGCTTTAAAGCAGTGGTTTTTATCATGTTCAGATGATTACCGAATTAAATATGGGGAGTAAAAAATAAAAATCTAACAGCCAGACCCACAAGCTCACCTTAGAATGAGAGAAAAAAAAAAAGCTGAATTCTCTTCTGACATACTCACATGCAAGTCAAAATATTTCTGTCCTATCTCACTGTTTGAATACTATGGGCTTACTGATCCTTCAGCAGTCCAGTGGCATTCAAGCTATGCCTTCATGTGGCATTTACGTGACTCAATTGTTTTGACAGAGCTTGTAGCAACAAAAGTGATTATCCCCGTATTTGAAGTTTAATAACCTATCTTACTTATTTTTGATACATGTTATTTATCACTATTACAAACATGCTTCTAAATACATGAATGTCACAAACCTGCATAATAAAATTATTTCTGCAAAGTCAGTTTTCAGTAGAGAAACTGCTTCAAGGCCATATTACACATGCAGTATGTATAATCAATTGCAATCGGTCATAATCAATCATACATAATCAAGAGAATCTGTAGCTAAGGTATCACTCAAGAAATAACAACTTAGTTTTGATCACTGTTAGTATGTGGACAGCATGTTGAGATTCTTTGCTCTCAAGGAATTCCCACTATCTCAGGTACTGGTGCTCAATATTTCGCTTGAGGTGCTTAGAAAAGCATTTGCTAAATTCTCAGACACATTTCAACATTATCGTAAGCACTCCATGCTACTACAAGTACAAAATAACATACTGCAAACATGGAATTTTCAAAGCACACTTAAACTTAACTCATGTCAGTACTCCAGTCCGCAAAACCTTAATTTCTGCCTCATTTTAGCCAATCTACAGTTCCCCTCTGGCTATATAGCAACAGCTATAATTCGTGCTCTGGCTCAAAGGCCTTGGAACCTGACAGGAGCACAGCCTACCACCAACAAGAGCAGTACTCCCCTGCATGCCCTTGTTCTACCACTTCAGATTCATTTTTCCAAGGGTCAAATTGGATAAGGGAACTGGCCTGACTGAAAACTTTTTGTTTTGGTGGCGTCATTTATTTTAAGCCATATAAATGCCTGGATCTATCCCACAAGAACAGTTATTTGCTTCAAAACCTAGGCCGCAGAACTTGCACCTTATGGAAAAGAAAGTATTACCTGTTCCAGCAACAAGTTCTACCTACTTCAAGTGAAAATGAGGAGAAAACTGCAAGCTTAAGCCTGATTTCAGTCCGAGGAACAAAAATGCCACTTCATTCTGAACTTTTTGGTTTTATCTGATAGAATCAAAACAAGTTGTTTCTGCTATTGATCCAATGCAAATTCAAACAAACATACTCAGGGCTTAACATGTATTCACTGGTTCATTTGCCAAATGTTCAAATAAAAGCAAGGTTTGGCTGCAGAAGACTCCAGGCATACCCCTTAGCAAGCTGACAAAACCATCTTTAAGAACAATATTATTTTTTGTCCAAAATTCCTCTTTAGAGCTTTCCTTCTTCTATTACTGCTTATCAGTTTATGGAACACAGAGCAACCATAAGTTTCTTGCATAAAAGCTGCAATTATTAGGAACTAATCAATACACTAATTAAAAGCCAAACCATTCTAAAGTATGGTCTCAATTTGCACCTCTTCAGGCATTCATTTAAAAAATACATACCAATGACATGTCTCCCATTTTACCCAAAATTACCAAATCATAACCCAGTGAGGCAAGTATGACAATACTATTGACGTCAACAGTTCTTGCTTGATTTAGTTCATATTTATGTCCAAGTCAGGCAATCTTTACAATTCAGCAGCATTAGTGTCAAATCCAATGGACACATGAACTACACACAGAAAATAAATGTTGAATACCTCAGGGAAGTTACTGTTGGTGGAGTGAACAGGATTCAGTAAGGTTCCAATTTCTATTTGAAGTTCCAAGAGCTTATCCAGACTAAATCTCTCTGTAATTGCCAACAATCTTCAAAAACCATCATGAAAGTACATCTCTTTGACAAACAGAAGAAGGGAGATTTTTCATGCTTCTGTTTACTAATCCTCTTGGCAATCCTGCCTACTAATTACTATGATCTTGGATCATGTCATGGTACTCTGCCGTTTAAAAACCGGACACTGCCATTTCCTTGAAGTAGATGTCACATATCTCCCAAGTATTATCTTAATTTTAGACATTGCAAGTCAGCTCTGGTTTACCTGCACATGTACACCCATCTACTTTGTTATTAGAACTTTTAGGAGGGGGAAAAAAAACAACAAAACAACCCCACAGCTGAAATCAAGAATCTAGCTGGCAGCCAGAATTTCCACCTTTCCAACTTCATAACTCACAAAGGTCATAAAAAGAGGTAAGACTGAAACTCATCAACAATCACAAGAAAGGTATAATCTTTTCACTATGTTAAAAAAAAATCTAAGCATTAACAGCTGTAATCAAACAGCTCGTGGTTATGATCCTTCCGCCCTTCTTCCCTCAAACTCTGGAACCTTGTTGTTCCACATTCCACCGCCCACCCCGCATCCTTCTGTACCAGACCCCTGCAGAAAGAACACAGCATCTTTATGGGGTGCTGCTATACATGGTCTTGGCTTCCATCTGCATTCTGCAAAAGCAAGAACAGAGACTCTGGGGCTCTTCTAAATCAGCTGAAGAGAAAAATATATCTTGGCCTATTCTCTTGCTGTTCCCTAACACAGAAATGTAGACACACACAGCTAATTCTCACAGAGAAGACATTTCAAAGCACTTTCTAAAATGGATTAAACAGATTCAGCGCTTACATGCAAAGCACCACTAGGCAAAAGAAACAGAGGGAAATAGTTACCATAACAAAGTCCATTCTAACATCGGCTTACCAAAACGAGGTAAAACTTAAACTGAAGATCAAATAATAATTCCGCAGGGTACTTTTCTGAATGGAGTATCAGTCTTTAGTTATGTGTGCTTTCATTGTAAACCGATGCTACAAACATACTACAAATAGCCTAAAATACCTGGAATAGGCCTCAAAAGTTTCAAATGCAAATGCTCTCCCTCTAATATACTTCAAGGACTTAACATAATTCCTAAAAACTATTTTCTAAAAGTACTGTATTTAGAGAGGGACATCTAAAGCTGCAATAACACGACCACACGTCTCGCAGAGTAGCAGTCCTTCAGATAAAGGTCTTTCTTACAGACACTCAACATTTTTAAGTCAATCAACTTTGAAAGCGTTCCTCACA